TTATAGTGAAACTACACCTATACCTATACAACATTGTTATTACATTGTTATTGATTGGTGGATGCTTCACCTCTCACTGTGTGCTAATTCACGATCAAATGGAAAATCAATAATAATCTGATCCAGAAAACACCACCTCAAAGGGCCTTCTACTTGAAAAACAGCAGTCAAGGACTGCATGTGGCTACTGTTATATCACAGAATCATGTGGATATGTGAATAGTAGTTTGTAGGATGAAAAATAAAAAATAAAAAAAAAGGAAAGAGTGATCTATTTTATAATTTGGTTTCTATGTTTTGAGTGTAACTGATTGCATTAATACCCTTCCAGTTTTAAGCCCCCCACCCCCCTCCCAGTTATAAGCCCATGAACCTTTGGTTCTTTTTGTTTAGTTCCCTGATGCACATAAAAGATTGACTGGGAAGATATTAGAAATAATAAAAACATTTATCCTGGACTTTCTTTCCTTCCAGTTATGAGCACCCCCACTGAATATAAGGCCCCCCCCCCTCCCCACAGGTACAAGTCCATCATAAATCCTGGATAACATARTAATAATATAAGGCCAGGGCTTATGACCAAGAATTCCACAGTAACCATTCACCTCGTATATTCCATTCACTGCCACAACCCATGGTTTTCCCACTGTCTCTGTATTCACAAACCAATCAAACAATGCTTATATTGATGGACACAGGCTAAGCGCATGCACTTAGAATGAAAATATGTTTTTCAACTTAACTTCATAACAGTCATTCATAACTTGATAATTTTGAAGCAAACTATTAAGGTCAATGTCAAAATGGTAAGAACTCTCCTGTTCAAGTTGTCTTAACRTGTACATAATTAAGCATGGCAGGTTTCATCCAAGGAAAGTTTAAAAAAACTCTGCAATTTTGTTCTTTCTCTGAAATTCCAAATTCCTCTGGGGGGGGGGGGGGGGGGGCTATGGATAATTTCCGCAACTACACAGTTGATCAATATCTAGACTGATTTTATAAGTTGGTCCCAGTTGAGTGGATTTCGCTATTCCATCTAGTCGATAAATTAGATATCAGCATAGGCTTATCCACTGGATAAGGATTTATCTGGGCCTGGTTGTACGAAGACTGGATAGTGCTATTCAACGGATAAATCTTATCCAGTTGATAAATTTATTGGAAAACAGCATCAACTTATTCACTGCATAAGGATTTATCCAGTGAATTTCTAGAGATAGCGCTATCCAGGCTTTGTACAACTGCGCCCTGTTGGATAGCGTAGTGTTCTTACCAGGCCACGCCATTGCGGTAATCGCGCATAAAAATCAGAAATGGCGCACAAATTTCAACTCTTTGCTCCACCAAGGGCGCATGAATTATCCAAAGAATACTTCCTGATAATTTTAAAAGATTTAGAGTACTTTTGAAATAATAAAAGTCGCATTATATTGTCAATAAACAAGGTGAAAGTCCACATGAAACGACATGAATCGAACATAGCCGCCATCTTGTATTTCACTCTCCAAGAGGTCTGGGACTAGTCTATGTTAACTGACCTTGTTATGGCTGCCCAGTGCAAGTTTATTGTATTATGATTACTAATAAAAAACTGTCTTACATTGTTGTAGATTTGCAACAGAGTTACTGGCAAAAAACATTATTATTCTTTGTTTAAAGATTTTGGAAATGGCCCATCCAGTTTTCTAAATGACCGCTAAATTTCGGATTGGTGGGCCCTTTGACCCCCTGAAAGAAATTCCTGGTCAGAACACTGATAGCGCTATCCACTCTTTATACAACCAGACCCAGCCGGTCAGTCGCTGGTCATTTCAGGAAAAATTCTTAAAATTCTCAATAGAAAAATATTGATGGGATAGTTTTAGGGAAAAAACCCCAATAATGGAAAAAATTGAGGGAAAAACTAAGCCCATGCTTGGTTACCAATATGGGATGAATTTTCTGGAAAATTTTTCTCAACAAAATCCTACAACTGGGAATCAAATACAAGCTTCCCAATGGAAAACTATCTATGGGAGTGAATGGAAATTCGTGGGATAAAAGAAATAAATTTTGGAATAAAATGAAACTTAGGGATATCAATAGAAATATGGTCTGGTAGTGATTAATAAAGAAAGAATTTACTGAGAAATAAATTCAAAAAATTAATGCTGATTCAAATTAAATTAAATTAGTTTTTCAGATGCTTTGTGCTTACGTAATTACATAATTCTATTTAGCCTGCTTAGCAGGCGTTCGGGGGTGGTTTTTTGCTACTTTTGTTTAGTTTTTTCCATTGCTGAGCATTGCAGATCAAAAATAGCCGCACAGAACCAAAAAACGAAACATGTGGGAGAGAGGAAAAACAAACACCTACAACCAAGGTCTCATGTGTTCAATGTCAAATAAATTTCATAAATAACTGGACGCACTAAGTTACTAGCCTGTGCAACAGGAGTATACTATTTACCAAACATAGCTTTTTATGAATAAGACTTTGTAATATTATAAGCAATTTAGATCTGTTAGATGTGTGAACTAGGCTAAAATATATACCACATTCCTAAACATTGAAGGGAAATTTCCTAATACTAGTACATCAAACTAGTAAACCAACGACTGCTGAGAATCCATCAAAACATTCCTAACTTCGATTTGCCGTTTTTGACAAAGTAGAAAAGTAAAAATAATTTACCATTTCCCTATCTATGTTTTCTATAAGCTTAATTAGTATTTTTACACAAGTGAATGCAATCAATTTAAAAAACGTTGACGTCGAACGGCTCAAGCCTACGCGACTGGACCGAAAGGAATACGGGTAAAAATCACTGAAGCGGTTAAATATTCGTTCTGAATTAATTGTTCCCGCTAGTGAATAAGATAATAATGGCGAGGAACAATCCATCAAATGCATGTTTTTGGGTTTAGGGAAAGAAAAACAAAGTAGTTATGATTCAGTTCACAATTCCAAAAATATGAAGGTATTAAAAAATGTCTCCTTCAACACTTCCCGCTCGCCTAGGAAGGTTAGTGCTGTAAACCAGGCATAACTAGTCACATAAAATTATGGACTCAACTCTGCTTCAATGATTACTACCCAGAGTTCCTTTCGGTCCAGTCGCGTAGGCTTGAGTTGGTCGATGACAACATTTTTTGAATTGACTGTATATTAAATCCAGCACGCTCATTGGTCACAATTTACTTATTTTCTTATGGTGTTATATTTACCTACAGGTGAATATAGAAGTGAAGGCATTTTTGAAAAATGAMGGAGAGCCATTTCATCAAAAAAACAAACCTTTTTCTCTGTTATTTATTTAACTCACTTGTGTTAAAAATACTAAAACAACTATTTACCTCAGACAAAGTGAATTTTGGGGAATATTTACCTCACAGCTCAAAGACTGGCATCTTGGTAAATATTTCCTGATATTCACTTTGCCTTTGGCGAATAATTGTTGATTATTCTCAAAAAGTAGTTAAATCCTGGTGACCCAAACCCTTGCTAACTCAAATCTCTTGCTAACTCGAACCAACATTAAATTCCCTTGATTACATCATACATTTACTATATTTTACCCTCATTTAATCGAACCTTCAATAACTCAAAATCATGCTTGCTCTTTCTTTGTTACCCTTCAGGTTGTTTTGTATATAATTTTACCCTCGATAACTTAAACTTTGTTTCAAGGCCTACAAGTCAAAACATATAAATAAATGTTAAAAATATAATATAGAGTGCAAACAATATATCTTCGAAATATTAGTAATACTAACTTACACTATTTTATGCTAATTCTATTGTTTTCTTTTGTTTAACTAGCACTATTTTGAACAATTTAGTAATTACCTGTAGTGTTTCACGGATATATTGTTTGCACTCTAATATTATAAATACAAAAATAAAAATTATATTATTATATTATTATGCTCTAGAATATTTAATTTATTTTAATGGTTTTTTAAACATTAATTTGCGAAACACAAAACGTGTTMATTCATTCCTGTGAGAACACCGTTTTTTTACATCCAATGAAAATACATAATAAAGCAGTCAGCAGCAACCAGTTCTTTTAACTAGTTCTTAACAGGCTTTCCTGCTTAGTTCTGTGTTATTAACCAAATAAATACTGTTCAAATATTGTTCATTTTTAACCCTTCTCAGTTATAAACCTGATTAAAACGCTTATGTTTGAAGAAAAATGAATATATGAGCAAAACAAGGTAATTTATTTTTATCTCCAGAAAACTTGTACAAAACACTACCAAAAATACTACCAAAAATAGGTTTTTGTTTTCCATGGAGGGGTAAGGATAGGTTTTGGTCTCCTTCAAGGTACCAAGAAAATTGGTTTTAGAAATTATCTCAAATAAATAGAAAATTGAGCAAAGATATTGGAAAAAGTATTAATGCACATCTTTAAACTTATTCGCGGATAGAAAATTATCCTACGAATACAAAATGTGTGTTTGAAAACAAGGTTTTTAATACGGGGAAAAAAACGTGCCAAAATGAACACCCGCTAACACAACGAAAAGACCGCAAATATCGAAGGAAAAGACCTACAGAGAAGCATTAATACGTAACTTTAATATTTCAAGAGTTCGTGTAAGGTTCTAAATGTTTCTTACCGTCTAAATAGCGAAGTTTCGTGTCTTCTCAAATCTTCCAACAATCCGCCATGTTTTCTTGCTCATGTGACCGAAAGGGCTGGCGGGACATCTGTATAGATCTGTATAGCATGGGGAGGGAGGGAGGGGTGAGGGGGGGGGCAAGCCGGGATAGTACCTCCATTCTACATCGTCGTTTAGTTTACCCCCTTTTCCTATTCCTCGATAGTTAACCTCCTCAAATTACGTTCTTTCGAACGGAACACGGAAAAAGCTGTTTTATTTGTTAATCATAGAACAAAATRTACAGAATAATAATTTGTGAATAATCAACCAATGAAAAAGTAGCTAAGATTAGAAGATCTATCAGCCAATCAGAGACTCGCTACCATTCTATTGTGGGAGGCATACGGCGAGCGAGACGTAGATGTTCAATGTCAGCTTAGGTTTCTCTTTTTTCTCACGAGTGAAAGTTGCGGGTGAGAATACATGAAATTATCTGTTTTCGTGTCCCAATCTATCACTTATGACTGATTTTGGAAAGAGAAGACTACAGTGAAGATAAGACGAGAGTATTTTGGTACTTTTTTTGGACAGAGGATCGCGAAAGATGGATTTATTGAACGAAAACAGCGTCACTCAGGTAAGAGGGCCGTTTGGCGTGAAAATTATCATGAACTCACTTTAGTTGAAGTCATTTTTTGCCCTTTTGAAATAAAATTGTCAAGAGTAAAATGCTTTAATGCTTGAGGAACAGTTTCAGTATCATAGATTCGATAATTGTGCAGTTAAACGTTCAAAGATCGTAATTTTGTGTGGAAATCGGACTATTCTTTTAAACAGCTTCAAAACAGCTGAAACGATCAATGGGCGTCAATGAGAACAAACAAATGGTGGTCCAATGATTTTAAACCTCGAATTTACTTTATTGAACCCAGATTTACAGCATATATTTATCAGATACGATTTAAGTATTTAATAAAGTGCAAAAGTCCATTAAATGTTGCTTTAAAATTTTCGTTTATCGAGATTTTATGAACACAAGCGAAAAGAGTGGGAAGATCGGGTTTGCACCTTCGCATCACTCATTGATTTCGTACATTATAGAAGTTCAAGGTTTTTTTGAGTCTGTTGCTCAATTTTTATTTCTTCTTTCTCACTCGCTATACACAATAACGACTTGATCAACACTACAACGCTTGAATAACAATTTATACTTGTCGTAACAGCTTGGATTCGATCCTCATATTCGATCCTCATATATTATAAATAAGAATACACTGACTGAACGGCAGATGTTCATCATAAAAGAAATTTGCAATGCAAAATTTTTTCAATGTTTATATAGCAAACAGCATATCGTATATTTTATACTATGACAACTGTCATAGAGATAAAACATAGCCATTCAATGGAGAACTCGTGGATATTAAAGTGTATTTATTTTGAGCTATAACTATTGTGTAGGAATTTAATGTCATATGGGTATATATTTTTTGATTGAGTGATTGGTTTTCTTACCCTTTTGTTCATCTATCTTGCAAATAAATCGATTGCGGATTCTTTTGAATTTCTAATTAATTATTGATTATTTAAATTATACCGTTGTAAAAAGGCAGACGGGGCATTGAAAAACACTTTGCTTGATTGTCTTTAATTTTTTTTTTAGTGTCATATGATTTTACGCAAATATTACTAAAGACAGAGTAAAGGCTTTTAAACCGTATTATAGAGCCTGAGGGCTAAATTAACTGGAAGATTTTCTAGTTATCTGTCTATCTGGTAGATATATCAATAAGGTGATATTTAGCAGAAATATTTTCGAAGAAAAATTTTTTATTAACATTTTTCCTCATCATAGGTAGTCATTGGTACCTAAAATCCCTGGTAGAGTACCGTAAATCCTCTATTTAGCCCCCCGGAGCGCTTATTTATTTCAGGCACGTTTTAGGGAGGGCTTATTGGAGATGGGGGGCTTAATTGAAAGGGCCAGGGGCTTGTTGATTTAGTCGAAACGCAGTATGTAATATGATTGTAACTCAGGATTAAATGGAAGCATTACTATTGACTGTCTCGTATAATCTGTAGTGATGTACATGGCATATTTATTAATTTTTATATATTTTATTTTTTATTTTTTTATTAAGTGTCATTTACAATTATTGTGAATAGCAAAACTAAAACACAGTAACATTAACAAAGCAAGCTAACAAGAAATGTTCTGAACGAACAAGACTTTAATAATTCACCTTTAATCAGTACACATGATTCTTTAGTTGTGAAAAGGGGAGGGGGAGCTAAAAAGAGAGGGGGGCTTAACAAATTTCTTCCTTTAAAAAGGGGGCTTATTTGAGAGGGGGGGGGGGCTGAATAGAGGATTTATGGTAATTGTTAATTGAAATTATAAGGGGTTTAAAATAGACACAAAAGAAAACAATGGAATAAGGGTCTACTAATGTGTATTAGTCTTTTATCCCTTATATCTATTTAATGGGTTTAATACCTTCACTCTATACCTGGATAACAATTTATTTGTAATTGATCTTGATTTTTGGGAAAAAAATAAGTTGTGAAAATTTAACTTGTACATATATAACCCGTGTGCTGGGTTTATAACAACTTTTGATTTGGTCTACTTGTCTTTCAATTTCATCTCTACTTCTGGGACATCCTGGCGATTAAAAGGCGCTTTACATTCAGTCTTTATGTTAGACATTAAATGAATATTAAGGACTTGCAATATAAACCCAGTTTCGCTCACCATTTTCAACATTTCTTGTTTGTTTTGCTTGAGTGTAAGCCTCTGAACAGTACTACAGCAGCAATGGCAGATCTCTCGGACAGGCACTCGATCAAATAGGTGCCGTCATACTTAGAAATATGTTCCTATAAATCCATATAGGCTCGACAAGCTCTTGATTAATAAATAGGTACTCAAATTTCTGTGTCGGGTTGCCTGTGTAGTACGAGTTCTCTCATCGATTGGTAGGCTTGCAGACATGAATTTAACCCCCAACTGTGTTGGAAACAATCCAGATACCATCCCACATCAACAAATAGAACATGAATTACTCAAGTATAATAAATTTGGTATCCTACGTAATTAAGGAAAATGCACCAGATTTCGCAGTTGGCTTTCGTGCATCTTTAAATGTTCATACAGTAATAGTTTGTAAGCAGATACGACTGGCCATCAATTAATGTCTTGTAAGTGCCACTCTAAGATTTGATACAAGCTCCCAAGTCACCTGTGACTTGTTATATYGAACACTTGCTAAATACATTGGTATACCAGTTTTGGACAAATTACTTTAGTATCAAAGAATGTAATACCCTGCATTTGGAGTTTTGTGCTAGAAGCTTGGCTAGAACTTTGGTTTAGTTCAACTTCAGTTCCAGTTTGTGAACTTTCTCATGTCCAATTTAATGCTGAATCTACCACAGGCAGCCTACTGTCCAAGTATTTGTTGATTCTGTAACTGTGGGCTGGGATGTAGTAGCTTAATTTTGTTCAATTTTGATTTGAAACAGTTTGCAATTTCTTCTCCATTATTACAGAGACTGAAGATGCTGTAGTTTAGTACATAAATATCACTGTTGGGCTGTCTACAAATGATCAACACAGCTCTCTCCTTTTTTGGCTGCCCTCGGATCTTGGATGGAATTCTTCAAGCTCCTTCACTACCGACTCACAAGCCTGAGAGTCGTTACTGACTGTCTAACAACTGATTTTGATCCTGATTCTCTATGCATTGCAAAACATATCCTTTTGTTAAAATGAGTTAAGAGTATTAAATTATTTGCACAAGAATTAAATATCAATTGACATGAATATACTGATTCATTTTATTWAAAAAAGTATTATTGCATTGCCATAATTACATTGTCCGTACATTGAACATTAAAAAGATAGCCATTGTAGCAAATTAGAAACCATTAAACAGAAAACTTTAAATTCTAATCATTGTGATTACTAAATTTAACTGTACATTTAGTGAGTTGCTTATACCTGTCATTTTAATTGTACAAAGAGAGATCTCTTTATGTCAGAATTTTCTCTCACAGTAAGAGACTTCATTGGTGAGTCCTTCCTCATGTTGGCTTGGACTGTTCAATCAGTGGTCAGTCTCCGACCCAAAGGGTCTTACAAAGCTTTGCTTATTTATAAAGTTCTTGAATTGCAAAATTTGCAGGGTGTCAAAATGCCGCATTTTTCCATTGGCATGAGAAAGCTGGCTCATAGTATTATTTTGTTATATTTTGTTACAAACACAGATCTTCTCATGGAGATCATTGCCCTGGACATCTTAGGCACGAAAAATTTTATCCAGTGTACCAACATTTACTGCTCTCCTTTTTCTTTAATGTACTGCTGCAATTAATGCAGATTTGTGCACATTGTTTGCTGGTTAAAGTAACTTTAATGGACAGTTCACATTTGAACCAAAAATATGTATCGTTTTTGGTATTATTGGCTAATTCTATTATAACTTGACAAAGAACAAAAACTCCAACTTACATATTGGTGAAATCTACCAGTATAAAGCTAGGTCTTGTTCTTAAGCTTTGGTTGCCTTTAAGGCCCGTCTATATTTTCAATAGTTATTTCTTGGTGTTCTTTTGGATCAGAGTCCTTAGTCTCAATTGCTTCATCRACAGCTTTTGTGGTGATTGGAGGCTGTAATTTTGAGATCTTAGTATCAAGTCCCCTCTTAACACCAAAGGGGCTCTACACATCATTAAGTCTAGTAACTTTTTACCACGTTTGTCTCTCTTGCATCGATTGCAACAGTCACCCCTTGCAGTATTAGTTTGCAAATTTTGTTTCTTGCATATCTCACAGCAACGAAAGTTATATGTCATCTGTTCAACCTCAATTGCATGAACAGCACTGTAATATTCAATTTTTTTGCTGATTTAATCCTGGTGATGGGGGTTGTGGTATTTCATCAATTGCTTCAAAAAGCCTCTGTCCTTCTTTCAATATTTTTCTTTTGTTACGCACAAGTTGCAAGGAAACACGTAGAACCCAGTGAATTGTCGTCAAATGTGTTKTAATAACACCAAAACCAAGGTTAGATACAGGAATACAATTAAGGTGGACACAAATCTAACCTAGTCTAAACTAACTYGACCTTAACTATTACAAACAGTTCAATAGCTTGCCTCCAGCTTTTTAGTTCTTGTCCCTTGTTCTTCTTCCTCTTCTTCTTCTATAATAGAGCTCTCTTGACCAGCTTCAAAGACTGTAGACAATATACTAAATGAAGGCTCGTACTTCACTAAGGCTAAACTCAGAGATCTGGCTGTACTCCTTATATACCTAACTTGTTTCTAAATATAGACATTACAATATTTCTAAATATAATTATTACATCATTCCAGAATGTTCTTTGTAAATGTACTGAATCACAATGACTAAGCATTGAAGCTTCTAGAGGGTTCTAGACGTTTTCTTTAACATAACTCTAGTCGAAGGTTACAGAATGTTCTCGAATGTTCTAATAACTAAACAACTAATACAATAATAATATGGGCTGATTGGCCCTCATAATACTCCCCCTCTTGGAAAAAAGAAAGTTAGTATAACTTTCTTTGAGTCCAATTTCCTGTACTCTAGACAAAGAGTCAGCAATAAGGTTGTTCTTGCCTTGGATATGTCTAATCTCCAGGCGTTGGTTATTATTCTTTAACTTATGAAGGAAGACAAGTGGGTTGTGGTTACTATACACAATAAATGGTAACGTAGAAGAGCCCACATAAACTTCCAAGTGCTGCAGTGCAAGCATCAAAGCAAGACATTCTTTTTCTATAGTTGAATAGTTTTTCTGACTGTTGGTAAACTTTCTTGAGAAGTAGCAAATTGGATGGTCGACTCCGTCTTTGTCATCTTGCATTAACAATGCACCTGCGGCGACATCACTAGCATCAACAGCTAACTTAAACTGACGTGAGAAGTCTGGTCCAGATAACACAGGAGCTGTTTCAAGTAGCATCTTGAGCTTAAACAAAGGCCTTCTGACATCTGTCATTCCATAAGAACTTTACCTTTTTACTGAGAAGATGTGTCAATGACTCTGTGACAGAGGAGATATTTGGACAAAACTTTCTATAATAACCAGCCATACCAAGAAAGCGCATCAATTCTCTCTTGTTCTTTGGAGTTTGGAAATCATTGATTGCTAGAATCTTTGCAGTAACAGGCTTTACTTGTCCTTGTCCAACGATGTGTCCTAAATAGACAACATGCGCACAGCAAAATTCGCTCTTTGATAGGTCAATGTTCAAATTTGCGTCACTTAGGCGATCAAAGAAATTCTTGATAAATTTTACGTGATCTTCCCAGGTTTCACTGTGGATGATGGCATCATCAATGTACGCTTCACAGCCACTTAAGCCAGCTATAACATTAATAAGGCGTTGAAACGTAGCTGGAGAACTTTTCATRCCAAACGGCATGACTTATTGAAATGTGAATGAGGTCCCATTCATATTGAAGCTTGCATTACCAGTAACTGAAAACAATAAATTTAGGGAATTAGTTCCTATTTGAAGGAAATAATTTGCGTTTAAAAAATACATGCAACTGCAACATAAGTTTGCAAAATAAGAGAATTTTAAAGTTCTTAAGCTTAAGTACAAGTAAGGTTTAAAAGTAAAATTCTTAGGGCATCTAATAGCTCTTTCAAAATGTATTCGRGCTCTTGCTATTCAGAGTACACCTTTTAAGCAAAACTAAATCTCTGATTATCATCTTCTTCACTTAACGTACAAAAAAAAAAAAACGATTAATGCACAATGTCTTGGACAGAGACACCCCAAGTACAATGTAGGTAGTGTCACGAAGGGAAGTGGGGGAGTAATACGTTCCCTTGCGACKATGTTATTTCTCTCTTTTCTGGACTAAGAGAAGACGACGAGACTGCTTTTCTGCTTCTGCTTTCTTTTCTTTTATTTATCTGCTTGGTGTTCCAACTCAACTGAACTAAAGTGTGTGCTACATGCACTTATAAAAGTTCTCATTAGCATAATCTGTGACATCATGTCCAACGTGACCTGACGTCACTTACAAGCATTCTGATTGGTTAATTATAATTGTCATCAGCAATAAACTAGTTCCCAATTCCCGAGGAGGAATTTGAACTATTGCAAAATTCTATTATTTAAACTTAACTGTCATCAACGATAGTTATACCGTCGAAGGATCGTTAATTAGGCTTCCCATCGCCGGTACAAATTATAGCTGACAAACGAAATTGTAAAAGATTGCTGAGCTTAAAGTTAGGTTTTGGATCGTACCCCTGGCAGCGCCCAAAGTAAATATTTAAGTAACTTATCAGCTAAAAAAACCTCTAGGCATCAATCAAACAGAGAGGACAATTATTGGTGAGAAAAACAAGATTACATGCTTAATCGGTTTTCCTCAGTTTCCTGCGTTGGTGTCAGCCCGAGAGACTACACCAGACAAGTTGGTGACGCAGTGGCGATTTTGCTGATATCGCTGTTTCTCAAAGAGCTAATCGTATCCAATTTCTGTTCTTTTCCGAAACAGTGGTGCCGCTGCAAGACTATCCGGCACCTCAGCTTTTTCCGCAGTGATTATGCATCTTTTCCTTTCATCTGATTATTTTTGTTTTTTCCATTTTCTATTTTCTAACGTATCTCGTATCTTGGAACTAATATTTCTCCTTACAGTAGGAAAGTCGAGTTACAATTAGGATCCATTCAATGTATTTCAATGTATATCATTATTTATCAAGTTTTGGATTGTGCATTCGGAGAAGTTGGATCGCTACAGTGGTAGTTTGAAAATTAATTTGGTACACTCTATTTGTTCTTTTGTTTGCCACTTATATTTTCAAAAATGAACTGATTTTTTAAATTGTAGTCAAATGAATTCAAAGCCATTTCAATTACTCACCTTTCGTTGTTGTGAACTTTGCGCCACAAACRAGGAAATGTTGAATTGTCTGCTCTGAAACCCATTTAAAGGAAAGGGAACTGGAAAATAAGCATTTCAATTCAACAATGTTATATATCATTGCGAAAAATGTAGTACCAGTTTGATGTCCATACGAAACACCTCTGATGTAAAACGTAGACATGGTTTGTACCATGCCACCAATGTATTTACAGTGTACAAGTGAAGCTTCGTTGCCATGACAACTTTCCACAGACAATATTGTTGGCAAATCTTCTTTCATGTGTGGTGGCCATGAAATTCCTTTACCAGTAATGCCAAACATTTTGCAGGCTATTCTTGATTCTTTTGTCGTCCAGTAACGAGAAAGAAGAAGAAGAAATCTTACCCCACTCACCATCAGTTTTGATCTCTTCTTAGCCTTGATTGGGTGTAGAATCTCTCATTAGGCTGCCATTCCATCAGTCTTCTTATTTCAAAGTTTATGGGAATCACGTAAAGACTAGGTAAAATACATAAAACCATATTAGTCAAAAGAAACTAAGAGAAATCTCATTCTTGGTAGTCTTGTATTTAAATTTTTTATTTAAATCTTTTATTTTAYGAGGGTAACATAATTAACCTCTCAGTTATCTAACTTATGATCCTCGAAAACGAAAAAATAAAAACTATAACACTTGAAAAAATGGATAAGCAACTATCGATGTGCTGCCTAGGTGTCAGTCGTCAAAAATGAATTTAAAATTAATGGAAAACTTCCCRTTTCACTTTCTCTCTCCTGTATGAGTACGATCGGAATTTTTGTTTAATTAATTAAGACTACGTCTATCTCTTTGGCTTGGTTCTTGTGCATCTGAGAATCTCTTCTGCGTATGTCTTCTTCGTTTGCCTTGAATTTGTTCTTGCATCTTGTTCAATTCTTGTTCTTTCCTTATCTCTTGATGTCTCATATCTAACGCTTTTCTATGTTCTTTTAATCTTATTGCATATAAGTCTAAAATACCACGTCTTCTTTAAATTTAAAAATCGATTAGCAACTCTACTTGAAATACTTTTAAACATGAAAAAATTTGATAAATTCCTTTTGAATATCATATTTTGTAATTTTAATTTTAAAACTTGAATTGTCGCTCTTCAATTTCGACTGTCTCTTTCACTATTTTTCTTATCTTAATTTTCGTGCGATAAAATACTGTAATGCGTGAGAATATTTTTCCGACCTCGAAACTCAAAATCCGATTCCTATCCTTACTAAATCCACAAGGTCTTTGTCTTGTTTTTCAATCTATTTCTGCTATATCTCTTACGGTCATGGCTAGGCTTTCCATAAATATTGAAGAACAAGTTCCTTTCTTTTATCACGGTTCTGCCACTCCCTCCACCGGTACTTAAAGTGGCTGCATCGGTGGAGTGTTCTCTCGAATGAACTTGTAACTTATATTACATAACATTCAGTATTTTTAATCAAATTTACCATGTAGAATAGTAACACTGTGGAGAAGTTGACGTTTATCCAAGCGAATAAATACTAAGGATAACTTGACAGYGATCCAAGCGAATTTATAATTCAACATTTATTACAAAACAAATTTACTTTAAAGTACTTTAATCTCGAAAAAAATTTAAAATACACATCAAAAACTAATATACCAATTGTGATTGGTTCTATATGCACCAATCAAAACAGATATTTATTAAACAAGGGATGTGATTGGTACGATACCCTCGATACCGTCAATTAGCTACTAACCAATCACAGCAAAGGTTATGAGAAGCACTACACTACTGAACTTCAACGAGGAGGACTGCACGGTTTGCAACCCTTCGTTTGATTGGTCAATCCAACTTTTTCCAATTAAAAAGTTATTATTCATTCAAAGTTTATGAATAATTGACAGTATATATGCAATCTATTTATGATATATTTTACACTAGTATAAAGTATACACTATACAATACACATTGCACAGTATATAGTATAGTATTACATATATAATAGATAGTACATATATATACTTGTATAGTACATAGTTAAGAGTACATAATGCACAGCAAATTTAAGTAACTTATACGTAAGGTACATATTTAATATACTTATATAGTACACAGTTGATGATGCATAGTACGAGTACACATGTTACATAAAGTATATAATATATACTAAACACCAGACAGCATATAGTGGTCTCGTTGATCTCGGAGAGTCTCGGTGATCTAGTAGTTATAGTGGTATCGGTAGTCTCGGTGGTCTCAGTAGTCTCTGTGGTCTAGTGGTTATAGTATTCTCGGTGGTCTAGTGGTCTCAGTAGTCTCGGTGGTCTAGTGGTCTCAGTAGTCTCGGTGGTCTAGTGGTATCGGTGGTCTCGGTGGTCTCAGTAGTCTCGGTGGTCTCAGTAGTCTCGGTGGTCTCAGTAGTCTCGGTGGTCTCAGTAGTCTCGGTGGTCTCAGTAGTCTCGGTGATCTCGGTGGTCTAGTAGTATCGGTAGTCTCGGTGGTCTCGGTGGTCTAGTGGTATCAGTAGTCTCAGTGGTCTCGGTGGTCTAGTGGTATCGGTAGTCTCGGTGGTCTCGGTGGTCTCGGTGGTCTCGGTGGTCTCGGTGGTCTAGTGGTCTCAGTAGTCTCGGTGGTCTAGTGGTATGGGTAGTCTCGGTGGTCTAGTGGTATCGGTAGTCTCGGTGGTCTAGTGGTATGGGTAGTCTCGGTGGTCTCGGTGGTATGGGTAGTCTCGGTGGTCTAGTGGTATCGGTAGTCTCGGTGGTCTCGGTGGTCTCAGTGGTCTCGGTGGTCTCGGTTGTCTTATTAGTCCGTTGTCTCAGTCAGTCTCACTTATGCACAATTTTATTTTTCAATTTTATTTCAAAAAACGGGCAAATGTTAGTGACTATTACCAAGCTATCATTTTTATAACATTATCTAAGAGAGTCGAAGCCATGGTTAAGTCGTAATTCGAGCATAAAGGCTTCTCTAACAGCTATGTTCACTTGAAACTGCGATAGTTAAAAATTACAAGTGGTTCTCTATATCCTAAATAACAGCTTAATCGACAACAGTTAGCATAAAAGCATTTATATAGCATAACAGTTCATGACTATTAACAACTTCACAACTAAACTCTGACTATCATTTTTTCCAATATTCGAGAATCCTTAAGTCATGATACAGTTCCAATTCCAGTATGAACAGTAAGACTCCACCGTCTGTTTTATCAGTCACTTGGTTTACAACTTTGGCAGAACCAGTTTCCCTTTGGTGCAGCTTTCATTTTCAGACAAAGCCTGCAGATGGAGTGAAAGAGGGACAAAAAATAAGTATTTCACATTCACCTTCCTCATGTACTCAAACTCCTTATATTTAAACTGTATTATGATGAGTAAATCCGATTCCAATGCAATTCCCTAAGCATTCAATCCATGTTGTGGAGATGTTTAGAAATATTAGAACTTAATACACTTGACTTGATAAGAGGTTTCTAATAACTTTTTATATATCCCCTTAATTTCAACCATTTCCTTAATTACCCATTGCTGTTTGGGTTATTATATGAATTTAAATTAAATACTTTAACTAACAARGACAAAAACACTTACAAGTGAAACCACTGCCCACAATGCTCGCATTGAATCCAAACTATTTTAGTCACTTTCCCCTTTTTGGAAGGGGGGGTTGCTTTCTGGCAGAGACTGCAGCACTCGTCAGTTCTGGATCTATCACCTTAACAACAACAGRTACACATAGCAAGGTTAAGTTAATAATAATTCTATGACTTATAAAGCATAACATCAATTATAATAGCCTATTATCCAAGTAATAATAAAGCATATAAAAATGATAAGGAATTATCATTATCTTTGATCATGAGGTATTATAGATATTATTATAGATTGTACTATAATTTTAAAGATAAAATTGAATTTGGCTAAGAAAATTGGAGTTAAAGTTTATGCAAATCAGGACGATTTTGTATCAGATACAACCTCCTCCACAGACAATGATTTCTATTTGTGTTTCCCACATTAATTATTCATGGATTTCAAAATGTATATTTATATACATATATATACACTCGATTGGAGAAACGTTGTAGTAAAAATTCACCGTAATGGATTTCAGTTCTCTGATGCTGTGGGTAARAGAGTTCCATAATTAGGTGCTGCAATACCGATTTGTTATGATTAAATGTAATGATTTATAGTGCAYGACATATTTGCTGGRAAAAAATACTCACTCTTTTTAGAACGAGGCTTTAGACCTATGGATCCCTCAACAAACAGCTTCCTTTTTAATGGTTGTTTTGCTAACTCTGCGCAAAAACAAATTCATACATTCTAATTTATTTATTTATTTATTTTTATTGCGTGTGAATTATAATAGTGAAATGCAATTACAACAGCTTTTGTAGCTTCAACTTTAATTCACTTGTCAGTATTGTACGAGATACGTATAGAACATGTATACGCTATTGGTAAAAAATTTACTTGTGACATGGTTGTGAAGTTGTTAATTTAATTAAGCGCAATAGCAAATCCTTTCATTTATTTTGCGCGTGAAAATGTTCCGTGTGCCACGGCCTTTAGGGTAGTAGGGAAACGATTGCGTGTCGTTCTTAGAACGGCTGCAATCATAATCTATTATTGAGAGCAAACCGTTGTAATCAGTCACTTACGCCAAGAAATCTAGGATAAATCGAACGTACCTTTATCGCGTGAGTTGTGTGAGGATGGAAAGGGAGTCGCATTTAATTTGTCACCTGGCAACCAAAACCAAAATAAAGAAAAAATTCATACCATTATCGAAGTAAATGATTAATGTATAATATAAATGTGATACAAGGCTCGTAATTTACCTATCCCGCATATTCTTATATAAAAGTTGTTTATTTTGTGCACACCTTCTGTCCTCTGACACGACRYTTGCTGTTGCCTCTCAGATTCCCCGCTGGCTAAACGTATGCCTGCCAGGACACYCTTTAAGAATTGAAAAATTAATCCATTAATTGATAATCACAAAATCTCAAACAGTCAACGGTAGATTTAATTCAACGACTATGTTACAGTATATTGCCTTTTTTCTTTCACGTTTTAGAGGGAGGTAGCTATAGTGGGATCGTCKTAAATTTGTGTAAACGTTACCTTAGTAAAAGTTTCCTTCTTTCCAGGAGACATCAGCTGGTATCGTAATTTCGATGGAGGAGAAAGTTCCTGTCAATGTTTAGAAAAGAGAAATGTTAGCGACGTTACTTTTGAATTATTGAAATTACAATTAATAATGCATACAATCGCATCCAGTAACTCACATCAATAACAGTATGCTTTTCTGGTGGAGTTTCGGTGTCCTCGTTATCTGAAATGATATAATTATAGTTTATTTTGTAATGATTTTGTTTTTACTCTAAAAGATGAAAAAACTGCATGGTTCGCATAATTCAGTGATATTGGGTGTACCTGCAAGAAAGTTTTGTTGAGATCTGGTGGACAGTAACTTKTACACCTCCTCTATGTCATCTTTTACGGAGAAAAGCACATCTTCCTCATCCCTATCCTTATCCTTGTCACTGAAAAAAGTCTCGGCTTCTGGCGCCTCTTCTCTTRACCCGCATTCTTTAAACACAAACAAAGAAAGTAGAATTAGCATAGTGTGGTGACAATTTCATACAGTAATTATGGATGACTACTTAACGACACAATMAGTCAATTCGAAAGGAATGTTTCTTACTGTATTCGATCAAATGAACAAGTTCGTCTCCCAGAAGGCTTTTAGGAATTTTGTATCCTTTTGCCTTTTTGACGAGGCCGACTGCTTTCTTCCGCACATCCGCCATTTGCGCTTGCTCGTGGAGTGCAAAAACCATGGTTGATGTTGTAGAGTTGTCGGTTTTGGCTGCTAAGCACTCCTTAGTTTCCTATGAGACGAAGAACAACTTTGAAACCAGATTTCACCATTGACAGCTAAAACCTAAGTTCTGAATCGTTACCTTATTGCCAATGCTCGTAAAACCAGCCAATTCACCGTACGTGATTCCTACGGCAGGCACRAAATTGCCACCCACCGCTACGTTAACACACGGGTTCAGCCATTTCAGCGGCTACAGAAAAGTTGAAAATTAAAGAGAAATGAAAAGGGTGAAAAGTTAGTATGTATCATAGAGTGGTTTCATAGTTAAACCTTTTTAATATGCTTACCGCATTTGAGCTCATTACGGCTTGCGCAAGCTCTTTTCTGAGCCGCTCCCAAAAAGACGAATCCTGAGCACTGGACACATCTGGTTTTCCGCTCCGTATCATGTGGGTGAAGGCATGGCACAAAACTGAGTAGGGAATGGGCGTCTCAATAGCCACCTCGTAAAACTGCACCAACAGAAAATAAAAAAATAACTCTAGAATCCACGATAACTCGACAAAAAAGCTATTACCAACTCTACTTACAATAGCCAGTGTGTACAGGAGGCCGGCAACACCTTTATGCCACCTCGGTTGTTGTTCAGGAACAGCGTTGTGTAGCACTTCCCGGAATTTGCTTATCAACTGCCGGCTTCCATGCAACCATTTCTGCGGGAAGAAGAAAATAACCCAAGCCACAAGGAAGCCCTAAAAATAAGAAAATAACTAAAATGAAGCACAATAATAACTTGATAATGTGGAAATTAAACAGATGCAGTTTGTTAGAAAGAATACCTTGTTCCTTTTTACGAGTGCGAGCAGATCTTTGTTCAAGGCTGTTTCATTTTCCAGTACAAAACTCTGATCTTGAGTGAAATGAAATCTCATGGATCTGCCATATATTCTTTGAAAAAAAGAAAAATGTAAGAATATAGATTGCAGAAATAATGTGAAACAGGCTGTTCGTAACATTATAAATGCTTTAAATTTACCTTTCTCCCTCCTTGGAGTTGGAAGCCATCAGAATGCTCCCTGAGGGCGCCAACAAACCAGTCCTAAGAGAGCCTTGTGGTAAGTCACTTTGTATTTGGAGGAGAAACTCTGACAGGGAACTTGTCATTGTGGGGTCGTCTAGGAGTGTGGTGAAGGTGGTGCTYGTTAAAAGGGACATCAATACTTTCCTGAGAAGAGCAAAAACCTTAGCACAAAGGAAAGCATGTGAGCGTTTACATTGAYGGTCTTAACTTACATGGACACGCCGCTGATGGTTTGATTTCCACCAGAGCAGAATAGGGGATGCGCACTGCCAACTATCCCCTGTCCCAATGCTAAAATCTTAAGGGAGAGAGATTTTCCCACATTTCGATCTTTGGAGAAAATAAGTCCAATGGAGCTCCCATCTGGAAAATATTTAAAAAAAAGAAAATTAACAAAAACCTTTGGAAAACTGACAATGAAAACTGAAAATCCCACCTGAGAGGTCTTGACCATGAGTCCTGAGATTTGTTTTAATCAAGCTGTACACTATGAAGGCTGTGCTTAACAGAAACGGAATTTCGTTGCAGCCAAAATTGGAGGACAGTTGGATAAACCTAAAGTAGATAACGAAATTAATTCATCAGCTAAATGCGGTCACAAAGGCAATGTCTTCGCTATCCCAGTCCTTTTGCTCACCTTTTACACGTAGCTTTCAAAACTTCCTCGTTCAGAAGGTGAGGATCTAATGTTGTACTGAATTGGTACRAATTAGTGTCGTCGACAAAAAAACGGTGATCCCGCGATGCAACGATTTCCTTATGGTAAATGTGCAACTGAAATAGCAAAAGGAAAGAAGAAAAGTAAAATACACAATATAGCAAACATAAATTAGATGTGAGTTTTAAATCATATAAAACCGTACCTCTCTTGAAAGCAGCCAGTAGCCATTTTCCTGGTAACCGAGGCGTTTGGATTTGTGGAAGGGAAGCGGACTTATGAGATCATCCTTCAGGGAGGAGTAGTAGTCTGCCAATATGCTGGCAGTCACTCCACCCCCCAGATTCAAGATCCCCGAGCCAAATCTACCCCTCAACTCCATAACAAATTTGGCCTTCGAGTCGAAAGCATTCGCAGGTAGAACAATTGTCCTAAACAAAGGCAAAAAGGTATTACGAACTATGTAGTGTACTAAAGATCAATTATTAGATATATCTACATACATATGTATCCCCCTTTTAGGAATATACAAAAAAAATCTACAGATAGCAGACCGCATGTGACCTATGTTTGCGCGAATTAATAAAGAAACCTTAAGAGAAACATGAGCAACACCTACTCTTTAAATCAGATGAATTTGAAACTAAAATACAGGAATTAGATGATTCGATTTCAGTATAGTAACATTAATTGCAGTTACACCTACTTTGTTTCTAAATTTCCTCGCGTTATAGAAGTACATGTTGCAATCCAATAGCCTYGTTTCTCCTCTTCCGAAGACATCAACTCCCCTTGCAGCTTGAGAGAGAAATCTCCAAATACATGACGTCCATCAGTGTCGCAGAAGTAGGTCTTTCCATTCTCGACGCGAAATGTAAGGCCGCCACTCTATAGGAAAGAGGAAAGAAAAGGGCAACTAGAGCTGAGTCTGCAGTCAACTTGTATATAAATTGAATATTGTATATATTRAATACCATACCTTAGGGTCACTGGACCCCAATGCGGGTGTTTCAGTCTGTCGATCTTCTCTGTCTTCCATCCTCAAAGATTGAGATTAAATTGTTCCGCACGTYATAAACACGAGGTTGCGAGTGAATGAAACTACCAAACGCAAACCTTTAAATACCCTCAGTCGCATAACGGCCAAAATAGGATGACGTTGACAGTGACAGCTAGCGTTTCCTTTGAGCCCAAGATAAGCTTTGACCGACTTGATCGGACATGAAGACATCAGTAATAAAGTCCTGAAAATCTGGCCTCCGAAACTGCGTACAGGGGCCAATGCAAAAGCCTACGCTAAACAAGGGGTCACGAATAAAAGATTTTCGACAAAGAAGGGAAAGAAGAGAGTGAAAGTCACAAAAAGGAATAGCGGCAACAATGCACACCTGCAGCAACGGTCACAGATTTTCATTCRCTTATCTGCGGACCACCATACCTGTCGTTAATTTCGTTGCACTCTAATTTTATCGAAATATCCAATCCTGCGGAAGCTCAGATGTTTTGTAGATAGAAAGACATAAATGGGTAATTATAAATAATGACAGTCCCTGCATGATGCATAAAGAACATTTTTATATCAAATATACTTCGAGCAGCCAACGATTTTTGCCGAAATAAAAATGACWATTTTTTTGAATGATAGTAGTCTATTTTTTTTTTGTTATAAACAACAGGTTTTTCTGTGACGTTTATGTACAAACTTAGTTATCAGGTACAAGTTAAACAAATAATTGTACTTTGAACCTTGAATACGTAAGTAACTTTAGCATGATTGTTTAAATGATTTATTAAAAAAAGAAGAAAAGAAAATTGTATCGTTTCGGTAGCCACCCGGCAAAACTCAAACATAAAACTATGACTAAAAAACGTTTATGAACAAAGCTAGGATAAGTATTAAAGGACACGTTACCACTTCATGATAGGATCGAATGATATCCAATTTCGGAATTTAATAGAACGGAATTTAAACTGTTTACTTTAAGTGTTTTGACAAGTTGAAAATACATTGACCGGGACTTTAACTTTGCCGCGTTCACGCAAATTGAATTTAATTTATAAGTGTTCTTATCGCAATTTCCGTTTTTTTGCTAATTTACACCATTCTTGAGTAATCACTAAATCGGGCTTTTAAAAAATAAAGAGTCTCGTCAAGTGTGCGCTTATCACTAAATGATCAATGTTGGTGGTCTTCGTTTCTCGATTATCCTAAAGAAACCTTAAATATTCAATGAAATCCAATCCATAAATAGTACTCAAATCAGAAAAAGGGCTCTCAAGCTCAGTGTTGCAGTTTTTGAATTTCGAGCAGTAAAAATCCTATCTTACTTAAAGGATGAGTCAGCGTGGCCGTGGTTGCTGCCCAGGCTGCAGCGCAGAATATTTTAACAGATCGAAACCGCCAAATTGTACAATGTGTGGATACGCGCTGGGAGGAAGATACGAACAAACTTCAAAAAAGAAGAAGTCTCTGTGTCCCTTAGCCGTCAAGCTTACAGAATGTGACTTCAGCGTAAAAACAAGCAACAGAGATGACCGTTGTTTTGTTTCAACAAATGAAATTCTCTGGTTTTGCAGTGTCGAAGAATGTAAAGTGAAGAGGTCATTGTTTGAAAATTCCTCCCGCCTGGAAGAGTTTTCGTGCAAGCACGTGCAGAATGCTAAGAACAATTCCGTGGATCCGTTAGCCGTTCTGACACCTCACTTGACGACTTTCCTTTGCAGTAATTCGGTCAGAGAGCAACTGAAAGCCATCGTTGAAGAAGATAGCAATCGACAACCAGTCATCCAAGTGTCAGAAACTTCATACGTGGTGTTAGGGTCCGCCACGGCAAGCAACCCATTAGGCTACTGCCATGTTCGCAAGAGCTCCAAGCGTGATGGAGAATATGTGTGCGCAGGGAAAGATTGCCGTGGCTATTCCTCAAGAGCCAAGCAAAAGAAAACAAAGTCGATGTGCCAACACGTACTTTTACTGCGTTCCTGCTTGCAGCCAACTGAGAGTGCTGCACCATCTGAATCTAGGTTTCCAATTTCAACCCCTTCATCGATCCCTGAATTACCAGCTCAGTCTAGTAAATCGCAAACCAAACGAGCTTCAACTCTTAATTTAGCAGAAAAGAACAGAAAAATGCCATATAACATCCCGCGTGATATACTTAAAAAAATTGCGATGAGAGACGCTTGTACATTACTTAATGTACAGGGAGGATGGCCCGATCTGTTTATCCCAGCGGAAGAGACCTGTCAGCTTTGTGGGACGTCACTAGGAATGCCAATTGACCATCCAGGACCACATACGGATCAGCCGTCGTATCTTATCACTGAACTGAATCCTTTCAGAAAGGTCCAATTGAAGGTGAAATTTTGTCAATCCAATGAATGTTTGGCAATGCATCAGGCACAAGTTGAAAAACTAGGCAAGTATTTGAATCCGCTATATGTGTTATGCGACGGGGGCGTTGTTAAATATTAAATTTCCTTTTCAGAATTGCCATAAAATATACATAACGAGGAGAGTGCGTGTATTTTTTTAATATCATATGTAACCGAATTCAATAATCGTTTTATTATTTCTTCAAAATATTTCCAAAGTTTTCATTCATACTCTGGCGAATCTTCCCTGTTGGGAAGCCCTTTTTCAATAATGGGGCGTGCGGTATGACCTCATACATACGATCATTGGACGAATGACGTTTTCTTTTCAAATTTGTTAAGTCATTGCTTGCTATGAAATTGACCGGGGATAGTGCTCAATCAGCAAGAATATATTTTAAATAATCAATACTCTTTCTTATTTCTCTTTTAGGATTGTTCAACATCAGTGATAAGATTTTGGTTTCGTTTGATATCCTTCTGGAGTTCAGAGAATTTTTCAAAAAGGGACACCCAATAGGAAACGTCATAGGAGCTAAGTTGATGACAATGAAAAGAAAGTGTAAAGGAGTAAGTAAATAAGGTGTTAAAAAAGAATTAAAAACTCATTAATAATTCATGAAGGAAACACAATGGAAATCATGACCGTGAAGGAGATTTTATATATGATAAAGATTCGTCTTCATTTGCATAAACTTTAACTTGGATTTTCTCTATCAAACTTGGTTCATTTCGTAAAGAATTCAGTACAATATGATAACATTCATCATGAGTTTTTTAAGCCGTTCAATAAACTCGCAGATCGTGTTTTATCGGGTATAAAACCACTCGGCTACGCCTCKTGTTTYATATCCGATAAAACACTCCTGCTCGTTTATTAAACAGTACATAAATGCCAGGTTAATTATAATAATTCATATGCATGTTACAACTTAATTGCTAACGAGTAAAAACTATGTTTTCTTTAAAGGAAAACAATCCGACGGACAATCAAATTGTATACATGGAAGATCTGCTATACAATGGATTTTTTAGTTTTGAGTTGGTAGCACAAAGGAGCTTGGATGATGTGATATGTGGAGTTTGTGGAATTTCTCCAGAAATATATCTTGGAGATAGAAATGAAAAGAACTGTTGCACGAATAGCCAGGTGATTTTCACATTAACATTCTGTCTGTGAATGCAGTTATTTACAACCTTTATTGTAATTAATTWATTTTTATTTTGCCTTCTTTTCCACGTAGATCGTTTATACGAAAAAGGGAGAACCTCAAAAGTCCATGATTTCCTTGGAAGAATTACTTGCTATTCTAAGACGTCGCTGGCTAGAGAAAACTGTTTATACAAGGATTCAAGAACCTTTTTCAATAGCGTTAGAGCAATTGCCACCACTTATACCGCCTAGCTTGGGAAATGAAAATATTCTCAACACTGAAATTTGCAAGAAAAGTGTTTACCTAAAGTCAAACACGCAACCCACAGGTATATATATATAGTAGTACACATTTATACGAATATCTAATGAGATGCAAAATATTATATATCATATAATATATATTATATATTGTTTGGAATTTTTTATCTTCTATTGTATCAGAGACATAAGCATTTCACAAAGTCAAGTTTCCACAACATTTTGTGGTCAAGGAGCCACACCTATTTACATTCTGCATCACATTTGGTACATTGCAGTTCATTAGATATCTCTATAAAGCTATACTACAACCTTTTTGTATATATATATATATATATATATATACACTTAAACACAGCCATTTGCAAAATATATGGCCGTTTCAAATATAAATACAAGTATATCGAAAGTATATCAGACAGGGCGGGATATCTTTCTTGAAATTTTTTTTTTCCAGAAAGCCCTAGTGATAGACAACTCGAAAAAAATATCAGGGATGATATCCCATTATTTTTGATATGTTTTTGATATACTTGTATATATATTAGAAGCGGCCATAACTTTTGCAAATGGCGGTATGTGTACGTATACAAAGTTGTTTTTTTCATATCGCCAAAACATGTCCAATGTGATAATAATAATAATAACAACAACAACAACAACAA